AGATGAAGGAGGCAGCCGGTCAGGGCCCAGGGCCGTGGAAATGGGGAAGCGGGATGCGTTCGAGCTGGATTTGGGAGAAGAAACTAGAGGACTTGCTCTAGACTTAGGGTGCAGGAAAGGAGAGACTCATGGGCCGCCTCCAGACGCCCCGCCCCGTGGCTTTGTGGGAAATGGGAGAAGAATCCTTCCCAGGTGCATGCAGCACCCTCAGCGTTCTAAGCGCTCAGAGAGGGCCCGGCCTACCAGACCCTCACCCAGAGGAGAGAGGGCCCCCCAGGTCTCTGTGTGAGCCACCTGGACTGGCAAAGCTTGCAGTGCCTGTGGGAATCCAAGAAGAGCCCACCTGCTCTGCCCAAGGTTGGCTACCCCTCCCCCTCCTGCCCAGGCACCAGCCCGATACAGCAGTGGTTCTCAACCTTCTGGCCCTTTAAATACAGTTCCTCATGTTGTGACCCGACCATAAAATTATTTTCGTTGCTACTTCATCACTGTCATGTTGCTACTGTGATGAATCATCATGGAAATATCTGATAGGCAGGATGGTCTTAGGCGAGCCCTGTGAAAGGGTCATTCGACCGCCAAAGGGGCCGCGACCCACGGGTTGAGAACCGCTGCTACAGCGAGCTCACGGCATTGTCTGCAGCTAACCTTGGGAAGAAATGCAGACGTAAGAAGCCTGGCAGCTAATGGTTCCACCAGACCATTCAGCACTTAAGTAAATGCAAGTTCTAGAACAGCCCCAGCTGATGCGAGTAAACAGGACAGGGTGCCCGTCAGGACGGCGCTTGCCTTGCAGTTTGCAAAGCCTGTAAACAAAGCGAGCTCCCACCGTCAGAGCGGGACCGGGGGTGGGATCCCGATTCGTCGGCTCTCGGCTCTATCACACAGGAGGGACCTATGTCCTGGTTCACAAGCCATCGGGGGAAACTACTTCACTAAAGTCTCCATCCTCCGGAGTTGACGAAGACTGGAGTGAAAGGCTATCCCCACCAGAACAGAGCACTCGTTCTTGTGTTGTTGTTTTTAAAGAAATCACTTCCCCCCAGGGTCACCATGAAGCTTAACATCCTGATACTCAGGGGAGAGACGAAAGGCCTAAGAGGTGATCCCAGCCGGCCAGCCCGGTCCCAGCAGCCCCCTCCTGGGGGCCACGCATGCTCTTGCTGGGAGCAGAGTTCTGGTAAAGACTGGCTCTCACCTCCTGACCAGCCAGCTGCTCCCGGGAGGCAAGGTTTCTGCCTCCTTTCATGGCCCACAGTCCTGTATTCAGTATTTGGCCTGGGATGTAGTAGGTGCTCATTAAATATCTGTTTTGTGAGCCAATGAGTACCTTTGCCAGAAGACCACTCCCTATTCACCCTAGCCCCGGGCTTCCCGGGGGCCCTGTCCAGACAAGGGAGGGGCAGAAAAGGGAGGGGGGACAGGAAGTTTGGATCTGGCCTCAGACTCTGCCTCTCACCAGCATGTGTCTGTGTGAGTCACGTCACTGGTGTTGGTCTTCCGGTGTCTGAAGTGGGAGAAATCACTGTCCTCGTACTTTCGGAGGTTTTGTGTGTGGGTGAGGTGATGGGAACGAAGCACTCGGAAGGTGCTCTGTGTGGTGAGGTGATCCCTACCATGCCTCCTGCCATTGGGGGAGGATGGTGCAGGGCGTGCGAGGACGCAGACCACAACTTGCACTCAGAAAGCCTGGCAGGTGCCCTGGCTGGTTTGGCTCAGTGGATAGAGCGTCGGCCTGCGGACTGAAGGGTCCCAGGTTCAATCCTGGTCAAGGACACATGCCTAGGTTGTGGGCTCGATTCCCAGTGGGGGGCCTGCAGGAGGCAGCCAATCAATGATTCTCTCTCATCATTGATGTTTCCATCTCTCTCTCCCTCTCCCCTTCCTCTCTGAGATCAATACAAATACATTAAAAAGAAAGCAAGCCAGGCAGGTCAGCAGAGTGGACTGGGAGGTGTAATTAATGACTGCAAAGCCACAGAGGACAAGGTCACCTAGGCCATGCTCTCATATATGGGAACAGGAGCTCAGGGTGCACACGACGGAGCGAGCAGATAACATAAATATGCCAGTGGCCTGGTATGAGGCAATAGGGAATGGTGGGGCCTGTGGCTAACTGGAGATTACACTCATGCTCTGCCTGAGGCATCTGCATTGAAAGATTGAAAACACATGCCCCATCAAAGGCACCCGTGACCTGCAGGGGAGAGTTTGAGACCCTGCAGACTGTTGTACCAGGCATGTCTCATTTTCCTGATGCCCTGGCACCTGGGGCCTCACTAACAATGGAGGGACCACGCCTCCCGGGGCCAGCAATTCCTAGAGACAGTCCACAGCTGGAGCACACCTTCCATAAGCAAAGCAGCCACTGCAGGGCTCAGCTCCCAGCTGCCTCCCTTCTCAGGCCCTCACACCCTGGGCTGCCTGGCCTCATCACCAGGGCCAGGTACCCGGGGCCATGGACCCAGGAACAGGTGCCAGACAACTAGGGGCAGCCCCTGTGCCAGAGCCCACGGAAACTATTCAAACCGACCAATCCTAAGCCTGCTCGCCGTGTGCCTTCCTGTGGAAACCACAACAAAGCCTCTTGCCCACACCTTCCGCCCGCTCCCTCTGCCTCCTGAGGGGCCTGGTACTTCCCCACGTGGCCGGCGTGGCCCCCTCCCCTTGGGAACTGTAACAAACCCCCTTCCAATGGCAGTCGCGCCCGGATCCATTGGCCTCCCCGGGCCTGACCACTAGTAAGACCTCCACTTGAATCACCTGTGGGCTGCGCGGGGGCATCAAGCATCAGGGCCGTTCCCGCCCTTGTCTTGCCCTTGACTCGCCCTTGACTCCCGGCACCTGACAGCGTTTAACTCTAACCAATAAAGGGATGGTGGACGGGCCTGGGGAGCGTGAAAGCTGGGGAGAGCACGTGTCCGCTGCACGGAGTCCCTAGCTTCAGCCTCCCAGCTGCAGGGGCCTCAGGAAGCTGGGTTCTGGGCCCGCCTCCGTCTGATTGGCGCATAGGGAGGCGGCCAGGCAGGAGCCGGCGGGGACGTGGCCGAGCACAGGCTGGGAGGAGGCAGCTGTGTTACACGATGCGGCTCCCCTCCTGCTGGCAGTGGGCTTCCCAGGCCGCCCCTAAGTGAGAGGCCTTGCTCTCGGGGGACAGTCGCGGGCGGACTGTGTCCTCCACCCGGACCACCACCTCCAAGGGTCTCTGACCCCAGTGGGGAAAGGGTGAAGCCAGAAAGAGGCCCCAGCCCACCTGTGGGCACAGGCTCTCCACGGGCAGCACCCGGCAGGCTGCTCAGCTCCATGGACCCTGAAATGACCCTCTGTCTGCACTGGCAGCGGGGGGCCCGGAGCTGTGCACGTCCTGGCTGGTGAACTCCAAGTTGAACTAGAGAACCTTTATTAAAAATGCATCTGTCTGCCCCGGCCGGCGTGGGTCAGTGGTTGAGCATCGACCACTGAACCAGGAGGTCACGGTTCGATTCCTGGTCAGGGCACATGCCCGGGTTGCGGGCTCAGTCCCCAGGGAGGGGCGTGTAGGAGGCAGCCAATCAGTGATTCTCTCTCATCATTGATGTTTCTGTCTCTCTCCCTCTCCCTTCCTCTCTGAAATCAATAAAAATATATATAATAAAACAAAATGCATCAATCTGCCCCGGCCAGTGTGGCTGTTGGGTGGGAGTCGTCCCAGGCACGGAAAGCTTGCCGGTTCGAACCCGGCACATGTGGGGTTTCAGACTCAGTCCCCGGTAGGCGGCGAGCATGGGGGCAGCTGATCAATGTTTAACATCGATGTTTCTCTCTGTCCTTTCCTCTCCCTAAAAATCAATAGAAATAATGTAAAAAAAAGACATTAGGTAGCGTTCCTTAGAAAGTAGTTTTTTTGTAAATAAAATGCATCAATCTGCTCTGCTTGAAGGACTGAATTTCTCGGATGCCAGGGCCCTTGGGGGTCATTCTCAGGTGGAGAGGCCTAAGGAGAAGCCCCCTGTGGGGGGTCCAGCCGGGCAGTTCCTGCCGGACGCTCAGCTGGTGACCGAGTTCTCAGCAGTGAATGGCCCACCGAGGCTGGACACGCAGGGACTGTCCCACAGGTCACCCTGTGGGAGGGTCATCAGTCGGGTCACTGCGAACCGCCTCGCCCAGAACAGAACCAGCTCACGCCATGGCCCCCCTGTAATTACTGAACTCACCCCTTCCCTCTGAAGCGTCCTGGTTTAACTGGAAAGTTACACAGTCACCCCCAGCACCAGGCAATTTGCAAGTGAACGGGACGTGGGAAGGCTCACAGCAACAGGGTCTGCCTGCTCGGCTTGCACACACAGGAGTGCGAGGCTCGGCAAACCTGCCGGAGAAGGTCTGCAGGCGCGGGCGGCAGGGACAACTAGCGGAAGGGACCTGGGCTCGTGGGCTTAGCTCCAAAGGGGGCGCGACCCGGGCTGGCGGGGTCAGCCTGGGCCGAGCTGGGCTTCCCTCGAAAGAAGACTTTCAGAGACGGCATTTCTGTCTCCTGGCTGAAGACTGGAGCCCGGAGTCCAGCAAAGGGTGGGGGCAGAGCAGGAAGGAGGGCAGTGCGTCCCCGACGGGCTACGGGAGACAGGGAATGTGCACGCATTCCATCGTTGGCACAGGCCAGGCGGCACGGTCCCACTCAGCGCCACCCCCCACTGCCTGAGCCACTTCCCATTCGCCTTTCTTTCTTCCTCGAGATCGTATTTGTATCAGGATGAACTATTTATCTATGTTGCATGAAATGTCACAGACTGTGGGCTAAACCAGGACAGGCCCCGCACAAGGAAAAGCCCCTGATGAAGCTCACCCACAGCTCCCCCAACCTGCAGGGGTTGACCTGGCCCGAGAGAAGTATTTAACCCAAAAGGCGCCCGACAGACAGAATCCCCCCCCCCCCGCCCCCATGGCCTGAGTTTGTGAGGTCCACTCCCGTGAACCTGTGGACAGGAAGGGCCCCTCCCACAGAGGCAGGGCAAAGACTTGAAAGGTAAGAGGTGGCTGTACGTGTCACCTGGCGGCCTCGCGTGACGTTTAATCAAACTGTAAAATGCTCAGTGTCCAGTGTTTAAGGGCTCCTTCCACCCGTGTGTGTCTGTGAACTTAAACTTCAAAGCAACATGTGTGTTCTCTACGTAAGATTAGCCATCATGCAAAACTGACTGGTCAGGCAGCTAATAAAATACACGTATCCCATGGACGGGTTTTGTACATTTCAGTCCTTGCAGATAACAAAGCGATTCTTAACCCTGGATGGTCCTGAGTGAGTCCCTTGGCGCCGGGGGGCTGCCAGTGCCGACCGCTGGGCGGGGGCCGGCGGGGGCGGGAGGCTCATGTGTTATAAGTTCTCGACGCTCTTTTCGCTGCCGTCTGCGTGTCGGGCGGCTCCTCCTCCTCTTCCTCGGTTCGCTTGTGCTTTAAAAACAAGTCAGACTTCAAGAAGCGGCTGTAGCTGTCGTACTTCATGAGGTTGAAGATCTAAGGGGAAAGGGAAAAGACGGCTGAAGGCTGAGGCGGGCCAGGCCATGACTCACCCGAGCAAATATTTATCAAACGCCGCTCGCGCGCCAGGGAACGCAGGTCCGTGCGAGGCACACACGGGCAGCTGAAGCCGGTCCTGGGCTGGACATTTCTGGTCGCCGTGAAATAACCTCAGCGGAACAGAACAGCTTGCGGGGGGGGGGGGTCACATGAACAAGCCCCTCTCTGTTTTCTACGGAAGTCTAGTGCACGCAGCACTGACTCAGCCTTGTGGCGAGGGGTCCTTGAAGAAGCTCCACTTTATGTGGAAAAATGACACACAGGGACTAGAGATGGAGAAACAGGAACTGTTCCTGCAGAGACGGTGCTGGGGTGCAGGCCAGAGGAGGCCAACATCGTCAGAGGCACAGAAGCCTGGCATCTCAGAACTCAAACAAACCCCTCGTTATGCCAGGAAGCAACAGGGGGCTCATTCAATCCGGGCAGAGGGGCCAGGGCACAGCCGACGCGAGGGGAGGCTTCAGCAACGGGCCTGATGGAAGGGCCAGCGGTCTGGAACGGCGCTCGCTGCCAGGCGGGGCTGCCAGGCGGGGCTGTCAGGCGGGGGCTAACACCCTGACGTCTTTTACATCTGCCCTTGCCCTCCAGGCACCCGAGCTGTTTTGTAAATTAAAGGTCCGATGGAGTCTGCTGGGGATGGGAGACCTGGAACCTTCAGCCTTTGCACCTTCATGTCCCCCTTCACGCCCCCCCACTCCAACCACAGGGGGTCCACCTGAACCACGTGCTATCGGCAAAGCCAACAACCCAGAGAGATTTAGGATTTTGGGTTTTCTTTCGACTCTTAAACTCCTGCCTGCCCTTCCCTGAGCATCCTTCCCGCCTGTCCATGTCTCCAGCGGCTCCGAAAGGCCACGCCTCCCAGAAACCTGTGGTGTAGCAATCTTGTCATCCTAGACCCACTGCTGAGGTTTAGAGAATGTATTCGTTAAAAATAATAATGCCCCCCCAAATAATAATAACAATAATGCCTAGCCAGTTTGGCTCAGTAAATAGAGGGTTGGTCTGGGAACTGAAGGGTCCCAGGTTTGATTCTGGTCAAGGGCACATGCCCAGGTTGTGGGCTTGATCCCCAGTAGGGGGCGTGCGGGAGGCAGCCGATCAATGATTCTTTCTCATCGTTGGTGTTTCTCTCTCTCCTTCTCCCTTCCTCTCTGAAACCAATAAAAATATATTTAAAATAACAATCCCCAGAAAATACTAAAATCGCAGCCAGGGGTAAGACGGGGGAGAAGGAGTTATCACCCCGTGGCCTCCCACAAACGTGCCAAGCAGACGTTACCATCCCGACCACCGGCCTGGCCTGGCCCTGCAGGCCTGAGGGCCCCCACGGGAGCTCTGAGATGCCCACCGAGTTCCAAGTGTGGACCGGGTGCTCGGAGAGGGACTGAGGAAGCCAGCTCCCGAGGCCGCTGCCGGCACCCAGCCTGCGCCCCTCCCACACCGGGTCCGTGGCAGGTGGGACCCCCCCCCCACACTGCCTGCAGGATGCGGTTCGACCCCACGTCTGTCTGAAGTCTGTGTGCGTGGGAGTGGAGCATCCTGTTTGCCTGTAGTGGCTCAGGCTCACACTTCAAAGAGAAGAGAAAAGGCAGGGGCTGGAGGCACCCAGAGCCGGGGCGGCGGCGAGGGCGGGCGAGGGGGCGGCTCGGGCGCTGCTCCGTGGCTGGCAGACGCTTTCTGCCTCCAGGAGAGCCCGAGACCCAGGCTCCCTCAGCCAGCTCCAGGGCAGGGGCTGGGAGCTCTGTACCAAGAGGGTCACAGCCACACCACCGTGGGCAGGTGTGCATGCCCGGGAAGTCCTACAGGCTGGGCTTCCACTCCAGGACCCTGGCCTGCCTCCTGGTGTAGGTCCTGGCGCTGCAGTCACTGGGTGGCAGCGACAGCCCTGAGGCCGGACAGACGTGGAAAAGAAGAGATGTCACTCCCAGTGGCCGCCTTTTCTGAGGCTGTGAGCTGCCTGGTATCCCTGCACGGGGCCTTCAATGGCACGGCCACGGGCCCTCCTGGCACTGGCCTCGGAGCACATGGCCATGGGCGCTCCGACCACACGGTCCATTGAGGGTGGTGCTCCGCAAAGACGGCTTAGAGGAGAGAGAACGCCCCCAACAGTCTCTCCCAGGGAAGTGTAGCCAGCTGCGGCCCCAGCCTTACTGATCCCAGGGCAAATGGCGTGAGGGCGGCCCAATAAATACCCACCCGGCGAACGAACAGAAGCCGTCCAACACGCACAGAGGCTGGCGAAGTGCGTCGGGTAGTGCGGAGCGCCGAGAGCGCCTTCCAACCGGGCACCGGGCAGCGTGCGATGCTCATGTGATCTCACCAAACCCCGTGAGAACCCGGATGACACAGAGGGAGGAACCGGGCCCAGTGGCTGGCGTACTCGTCTGCTCTGCGGCCGTGAGGGGTCCCACAGACGGGGCGGGGGGGGGCGCAGGGGGGTGAGGTGTTCAACAACAGGGATGTCTTTCCTCTCAGTTCTGGAGGCTGGAAGTCCGAGGTCGGTTCTCCTGAGTCCTCGCTCTCTGGCTTGTAGACGGCTGTCTTCCCCCCGTGTCCTGTGTGTGTCTGTGTCCTAATCTCCTCTACTTGTAAGGACACCAGTTGACCTGGCTTGGAGCCCACCCCAATGACCTCATTTAACCTTAAATTCCTCTCTAGAGACCCTCGCTCCAAACACAGTCACATTCTGAGGTACCTGGGCTTGGGACTTCAACATATGAATCGGGGAGCGGGGGAGGGGGAGCATAATTCATTCCACAACAGCGAGCAAGAGACCAGCGGATGCAACACTGCAGTCCAGCCCTGGAGGCCACGCTCCTCACCACTAGGCTGCACTGTCCCCCACACGGCAGACCAACAGGAAGTCTGTAAAGAGTTTAGCATGGAAAAGTAGATGTGAACGTTCAACAACTGGACACTAAATTTTTAAAATGCACTGAAAATAAACACAACGATCCCAAATATGCTCTTTACGAGTGTTTGTGAATACTTTGCAAAGTACATGATTAGCTAACCACTGCTGTACACCTGAAACTAATATAAAATAACATGGAATGCAAACTGTAATGAAAAAATAAATTTTTTTAAAAAGGTGTTTGTGTACAAAGGAAATAAATATCTTCAAAGGTCAGTGTCGTGGATTAAACGGTGTCCCCCCCAAATTCCTGTCCACCTGGAACTTCAGAATGTGACCGGACATGGGAACAGGGTGGGTTGAGGATGCCGAGACGACAGCCTGGATTTAGGGAGGAGAGGACAGAGACACACGCAGAGGGAAGAAGCCCCTGGAAGACAGAGGCAGAGGCCGGAGTGACGCGGCTACGAGCCAAGGAACGCCAGCAGCCACCAGAAACTAGGAAGAGGCAGGAAAGGAGTCTTCCCGCCCGGCTGGCGTGGCGCAGGGGTTGAGCATCGACCTGTGAACCAGGGGGTCACGGTTCGATTCCTGGTCAGGGCACAGGCCTGGGTTGTGGGCTCAGTCCCCAGTGTGGGGCGTGCAGGAGGCAGCCGATCAATGATTCTCTCTCATCACTGATGTTTCTGTCTCTCTCCCTCTCCCTTCCTCTCTGAAATCAATAAAAATATATTTTTTAAAAATAAAAATCAATAAAAACTTTTTTTTTTAAAGGAGTTTTCCCTAGAGCCTTCCAAAGGGGTGCAGGCCTCCTGACAACTTGATTTCGTACTTCTGGCCTCATGAGCTGTGAGAATAAATTTCTGTTTTAAGCAACTCAGTTTGTGACAACTTGTTATGACAGCCCTTGGAAACTAAATTATTGATTTCCCCTCACTCCTCAGTGAGCACAGAAAATGAGCTGGCCCTCAGGCTTCTAGAAGGTTCTATAAAACCAGGACACTCTGATGGGGAGAACTGGCCTCCCTGGGGCTGGGCTGTGACCATCACCTGACCCACATGCCTCAGGTTGTCTGTGGGGCAGAGGAAACCGTGGCACCAAGTCGAGGACGGGGGTGAGGCTCCAGGTGGGCAGAGCGGCCGGCAGAGCAAGGAAGCAGCCAGTCCTGCCCAGGCAGCCGATGAGGCAGAAAACGCAAGTTGGCAGCTGAATTGCATTCCGTGCGTCTTTTTTTTTTCCCCCAAGACAGCTGTGGCTCAGCAGGTTTCGGGTTTTGGCAGCCCCACATCTGTGAGCTGCATGCCCAGACTGTAAACTGTTTGGCGTCGTTGCCTGGGGAGGCAATCCTGCAGGCAGCTGGAGGTGGGAGCCTTCTGCCCACGTGCAGCTGTGCACACGGCTCCACAACACCAGGTCATTGCACAGCCAAGGCGCCCCTCCCTCTCCGGACCCCTTCCAGTGGGGACTGGCTGGGACCTGCCTTTCCGTGGGCGCCCCAACTTGAGAGTGTCCCGGGTCTGCCGCTGCAGACAGGGGCTCCCTCCCGGAACCCTCCTCATCCACGTGGAGAGCGAGCTTTCCCAGCCTTGAACGCCCCTCGGTGAAGATTTCAACACTGTCCCAACTAAGCACATTTCAAGCCTAATAAATCTCCTACCACTTCTCAGAAGACAAGGACACTGCGTACAAGGAGGGGCAAATCAATCTGTTCATGCAAGTTTTATTAATGGGACTTCATATTTGCTGCAAGAACTGGGTTTAGTTTTTATATTAAAAATTTTTTGAAAGGCCTTAGCCAGTTTGGCTCAGTGGATAGAGCATCGGTCTGCGGACCAAAGGGTCCCAGGTTCAATTCTGGTCAAGGGCAGGTACCTAGGTTGCAGGCTCCTCCCTGGCCTGGGCCTTGGTCAGGGCTCCTGCAGGAGGCAACCAATTGATGTGTTTCTCTCACATCGATGTTTCTCTCTGTCTTTCCCTCTCTTTTCCACTCTCCCTAAAAATCAACGGGAAAAATATCCTCAGCTGAGGATTAACAACAACAAGAATTGCTGAAAGATGCCGTAACCGGTTTGGCTCAGT